GTTCCCACATGTCCCGCTGCTGCAGGCCACCTGTGCTGGAACAGCAGACTCTTCAGCCAGGCTGCATCGGCCAATCATCGCACTGCTAGTTTCAAAGTTTATTGTTATGATATGAAAAAGTTCAAATAGAAAGATGATTAAAAATACTGGAGCAAAGCTAAAAAAGGAACTTTAAAAACTTGAATCTGGTATTTTTTTAAAGAAATTTGGGTGAAGAGATCAAAATAAATTTAAGTCTTGTCGTCTTTGAATGATCCTAAACTGATGATCTTAAAGGTTCTTTAATCAGATCCAGAGAGCAGCGGTCACTCAGACATCCGAGCTTAGAAACAGTTTTTCTGCCACGTGCAGTCTTCTGTTGGGATCACCTCGACTCTGGCACGGAGGAGGCGGGGCTTCTGCACAGTGTCCTTCTGCTACCCAGCAAGCTGAACGACGTGTGCGTTAAACTTCTGCACAGGTGCGACGCTGGTACAACGACCTCACACACAAACGTGACTCTCAGTTATTGTGGAAAGATGTCTTCAGGACTATAAACTCTTCTGTATCTTTAATTAACTTAAATTTTTGGGCCAAATTTCGTATTCACTAATGGTTCTGAACAGAAAAGCCTGACGCCATCAAACTGTCTGCGTATCATAAAGCAGTCAGGACTTCATCCTTCATTAATAATAGATCGCATTTATATAGCGCTTCAGTATTCATTCACTCTCACACACTGGTGGAGGTGTGAGAGTGAATGAACTGACAGAAGCGAGGCTGCCACATCACGCCATCGGCCCCTCAGGCCAACACTAGTAGGTAGGACATAACGACCAAGACAGACGGAGCTGGGGATCGAACCGGCAACCTTCCGGTTACAAGATGAGTTTCCCAACCCCCTGAACCACGGTCGCGTTCATTCTCAACATATTCAAAAAGACACTACATAGGAGGAAACGTCCCCATTTTTAGCTTTGTTTGTGTTCATCTGTGAGAAACATTGTACATTATTTTATGTTATCCTTCAGCTTTTGTTCTTTGTCTTTTTTAACAACCGACCGAACAAGAACAATCTCAGTTTTTCAATGCCAGCAGCTGCCCGCGTACTAACAGGACTGATGATGATGAGTGAACAGATGTTGCAGATGTTTCTCCTGCACAAAGCACACGCTTCATCGAGTCTGTCCCTCACTGATTGGCTGCTGCTGATGGAGTTTCATAAACAGATGCAGTGATTTGCGTTTGTCACATGTGTGACCCCGACACTCCCCTCCAGGCTTCATCCTGAACACTAATGTCATGTTGTCACCAGGTGGCGCCACTGAGCTGCGATGCAAATTCCTCTCATACAGGCTGTGTCCCAATCCAGCGACCGCGCCCTTCTCGTACTTCCTAGTACGCGCCGTATGTAGTCCGAACTGCGCGTACTACGAAGTACGAGAAGTGAGCGGCTTGTGAAACGGGACGTCTGGCCTCCGTCGTGCTGCTGAGGTTGCCTAGCAACCATGATACTAACCACGAGAAACGTTTCATACAGCTTTGTGTGACAGAAGGAGAAAAATGTTTTTGTTTATTTTTTATGACATCACTTTGATTAGTTGAGTATCTGAGACCATGTGACTGTGAAACATGATTGTTGGGCTTCATTTCTGCACTCAGGGCTGGACTGGGACAAAAAAATCGGCATCTTGACTAGAGACCGGCCCACCAGGTATTACAGGAAAAACCATAAATCCTTTGAATGAAAACACGCTGCTGTCACAGTGATGTACACGGTCTTGTTGGTATATATGCATCAGTCTAATAAACTTAAACCTACACCATCCTCCCTGTTCTGCTGTTCTAAACAGTACCTGGAAGCAGACTGCTGGTCGAGTTAACCTCCTGAACACAACACATGGTGAAAACCTGAAATTAAGACAGAGGAGACTAGAGGTGAGACATGATCATTACTGATTACTGACAGATTTAGATATATTTTCATAAACCATTCATTTGCCACATCAATAAACAGCACGGCAGGGCAAAATATTTTTTCTAACATGGCAACCTTTAAAAAGTGAAAGGAGACAGAAAGACAGGTGAGAAAGAATAAAACTTAACTGACTTTTTGATGGCATTTTACACACAGTACTGGTACAGTATCTAGAAAATGTGGGAAATACTGGCATCATACACAGTACTTAGTTACTTCTGAAGAAAATATGATGGGACCCTAAAAAAATTACTATGTACAATAATGGATTTCTATTCATTTTACATCAGATGAAAATGTTTGTTGTAAGATTCAGAGCGATAAACAAACAAGAGAGAAAAGCTGATCAGCTGATCATTGATCAGTTTCATGATTGAAGTAGAAACAGGAGTGAATAAGAGAAGTAGTAGTCCGGGACAAACTGTTCCTTTTCACCTCAACACGAAACAATTTCTCTGAATACGAGACGATTCCGTTTTTTACAGGACGGTTGGAAACTCTAATAACTAACATTATAAATAAGATAAAACAAGTTCAACATCAGTAACATCATAGCACCACCCAGCAGTATAGAAACTCCGTCATGCTAGCTAGTAGCAGTACGAGTTACTGTAACTGACTGTAAAAAGTCAGCAAAACAAAAATAAACTCCACCTAAACTTGGTTTATATCTG